TCTTTTTTGGAGACAAAAAGGTCATTAAAGATTAAGAGAGAAAGTATTGAAATACATGTTACAACACAGATGAACCTTTCAAACATTATGTTAAGTGAAAGAAGCCAGTCTAGGACTATATTGTATGATTTCACTTATATGAAATGCCCAGAATAGGCAATTTTACAGACATAGAAAGCAGATTAGGAGTTTTCTAGGCCTTGGAGGGTAGTGGGAGGATTGGGGTGTAACAACTAACAAGTGTGGACTTTTTTTTTGGTGGGGAGTCATGAAAATATTTTCAAATTGATAATGGATGGTGGAACGCTGAATAAACTAAAAGCCATTGAATTATATACTTTATATGAGTGAATTGTATGGCTTGTAAGCTATTTTTCGATAAAGCTACTAAAGTTAACAGAAAATTCTTCAACAACAAATCCAAGAGTCTATAAAATAATTTTCCAGATAAGGGACTTCATTATAGCATCGAACAGCACTAAGAAAGTATACAGCACTTTAAAAGGTAAATGAGAGTACACAACATTTAAATCTGATATGATCATTTCCTCAAAAGTTTACCATTACATGGAAAAGGATGGCATCAAAAGTTATGTTACCATTTAGTACATAAAATAAGCTCCTGGTTTACAGCTAAGAAAATTCAATGACATTTAATTACATTATGCCATATGATGCTAAATTCTTATAATCTAAAAGAATTCAGGTTTTCAAAAAAACTATATGGTTCCAGTGTCAGAAATCAACTCTAAATGAAGAAATAGTTAGGTAGCAGAAGAGGCTAATTATATTGGTCTAACTCCTTTCTGTCTCAAAAAAAAAGCGTTCTTTTTTTTTTTCTTTTTTTTTGCCAGACTGAATGTAATAGCCTGTGAATTATAAGATCAAGCAAGCAAACTGTATGTTTTCTAAAATATGAGTATCCGTCATCAAGTTTTATACTTAGGGCAGCTAAAAGACCTATGTGGAAAAATCAGCATTAAGCCCAAAGGACAGGCAGTGCACAGCAAGAAAGCAGGCAATTCCCTCGTGTCTTTTGCAGGTCACTACCAAGGACCATGTTAGCACATCCACACCAGACCCTTAACAGGCAGTTCTGCTGCTACCAGTAATTAGCTTGGACAGCTCTGGCTCCAAGAGTAGCAGCAAGGCTACACCATAATGAGCTCAGCTGGGATTAGCAGGACAGGGCAGGGAACCAAGAGAGCTCAGGCATTCTGCATTGCGTATGTATCTAGGAGATCAAACAAGGATGGCTGGCTAGGTTATCCCCTCTCCACCTCATTCCAAAAATGAAGCACGGCAGTGTCTAAAATACAGGCTAATGAAGAACGACACCTCCAACAGATGAGAGCCACATTAATTAACACAATCCCTAGATCATATTATACAGTTTCTTTTAGAGCTAGCAAATGTGCAACTTGTTATTGCATAATACATATATATTTTTAAGATGCTAGTCTTTTTTCTTTACTTTTATTGGCAAAAACCAGATTACTCTATTATCAAATTTTATAAAATATCTCTTTAATCTCCTTTAAGCCACAAAAAATTCTCCCAAATGTTTAACTAAGTCCACATTGTTAAAAAAGAAACTCACTTTTGAAACATTAGCTCCTGGTTTTCCCTTTTGTAATATGCCAGTTCATTCCATACAGCATCAGAATCTTCTTGCTGAAGTTGCTGGGGATCTGCTCTCCTTATTTCTCTGATTTCAGTCCTATTTTTAAAATGAAGTTGTTCTTTTCCATAACATGTTCAAAGTGCAATAAGAATTAATTCATACATTCCTTAAAATTTAAAAATATCTATTGAGTAAATCTCTAACTCAAGTTCACTATTTTTTTTGAATGAATTCCCTAAGACCTAAACATGTAGAAATTAAAATGTTCTATCATAATTTCCTGAAACTAAACTGCTACTATGAAAAGCAAACTTTTAAGCAGACACATAATAATCTTAGGTCTATTTCCCTCATTCATTCTAGTAGTAATAAAACACACACCATAGAATTTTAACAGTCTCCTCCTCCTCCAAAAAACCGTAAGCAACCAACTTATCTAGAATTTGGGGCCAACCAGTATGAATGTAGTATAGATGCTCTCTATCTTTTTTAAAAAGTGAATTCTGTCAGAAAGTAGATTTCACTCTTATAGTGATTACTAAAAAGTTAGGTGAGCGGAGGCTAAATCTAGGATAAATTGCTTTATCACTGTTTTACTGACAAGAGATATGAAATACTTCCATTCATCAAAGGAAGGAATTAGATGTGACAATTATCTACAAGTGATGCCAAATGCCCTTTACGTTTTCATTTTCTGTACATAAAACAAACTTCATTTTTATTTTGTAAAAGTGCTGTACGGCCAATTTAGAAACAGTATTTCTCTACAGAACAGACCAATGTGTATCATCAACATTGCCCTAAAGGATCCATCTCAAAAGATGAGAGGGTAGTAGATTTTCTGTACTCATTCAGTCCTTTGCCCTCTGTTGATACTGTTAACAGGGGAGCCACTTACAACTAACCAAGATCTGAACACCTGTTCAGAGCAATTGAACTGAGACCGCCAATTCATTCAGATAAGCTGGAGAACAAACTGATGGATAGTAAAGATCTTCAAATTGCATGCTAGGTTGAAATAGTTTAAGATAGTTAACTATATATGTGCATTTCATATTTCTCTTGTCTTTCCATTAAAACTTAAACACTTTCTGGGCTATAGACATTTTAACACCAGTATTTTATTTATTTAAAAGTAGTTTTTCAATCACATAGGTATTAACTTTGCTTTAGATTATATGCTTTTATTAAACAATTCCATTGATATTAAAAATTTATGTAATAATTCACAATAACTTTCTCCCAATTATAGCTGTAAAAACAGGAAAATCTATAGTTATTACTAGCACATTTTTCTGTTTTCATTTGTTATACTCTCCGTTTAAAAATTCACAGTAAAGATTTCACTACCAAATAATTTCTTTAAAACCAAACAAAAGCCATTAAAACACCTATATAACGCTACTCCATTCCATTTAATATTTAGGGAAATGCCTTTATGAGCTATGTAACTCACATGCCACTGCCTTCTTCCCACTGTTTTAATTGCTCTTTTACTGCTCTGTAGTTGGTCTGTAACATCTGTAGCCTTTCCTTACGTTTTTCATGGGCATCTCTTAGCTCATCATTTTCTTGGCTCTGTAGAACACAAAAATCAAGTATATAAGTTTAAGAAAGTATCGGTATGTTTCAAATAAAAGGTTACTCATGTAAATATGAAATATGAAAGAAAATATTGTGTAAACATGAATGTGTAACATTTATTTAAGCAGAAGGAGAGACTTTCTCAAGTCACAGAATAGATCTCCTTAATAAATTCGACCCACTCACTGCATTTTAAGCTACTTACATAATTTCAAAATTATGCCATAAGGCTAGTTTTATCCCTTTCCCTATTCACTAATACACATACAAATATTCACAAGGCTATCTTACAGGCCCTTTTCTTTTTTAGCATAAAGATTTCTCTATACATAGAGCATGATTATTTTGTTAGAATGTAAATATGATTAGTATAAGAACATTACCACAATAAGACCAATTCTTCAGCCTACAGAGTCATAATCTATATGTAATAAAGCACAATGATTACACAAGAGAAAGAAAATGAGACTGATGCTTGTTAGAAGGAGCATAGTTTAACATTTTGGAATTGTACCATGAAGAACTGGAATGGGAAAGCTAGGCTTAGTTCTCTTGAAGAGGTCATACAATAGACAGTCCAATCATTACTTTGTAGATTCAACATCTATCTTAGCCAATTACAGTCAACTACTTCTAAATGTATACAGCACCTGAGATCAATTTACATTTTTAGATTTAGTCATAAAATGAACTTATAAAGACCAAATTCTTAGTCTTCAGAAGATGTATTAACATGATTTATGAACTATTTCTTAAAGTAAAACAAAACTTGAGTTTTTCCCCAATGAGAATTTCAAATATTTGTAAAACTCTTATTCATATTTTTCTTTTTTTTTTGAGTTGGAGTCTCACTCTGTCGCCCAGACTGGAGTGCAGTGGCCGCTGCTGGCCCATATTTCTATATGAATGAACTTATACACTTATTTGGTGGAGGCAAGAGGTACTCTCTAATATTATAATGATATAGGCTTATGGCGATTGGAAAGATCTGAATTCCATTCTTGGAGTTTTCTTCTGTTAGCTGGGTTATCTTAAAAACACTATTTAACTTAATTCAATTCCTTTTCCTATAAAGTTGGAAAAGAAAGCACAGGTTTAAATTATGATGATTAAATCAAACAGGATAACAGGCAGAGTTTCTGGTGCTGTTCTGCCCTGTAAAGGTACAAAGCAAAAGTTAGATTCTTTCAGTCTCCCCTTTCCAGGTATTAAAAGAGATACTCTTATCTTTTAGAAGCCCAATTCACTGTTTTCTTAACCATTTCCTTCTCATCTAAACTGTGAGATAATACTTTATAGAGTTTGCATTATTTTACTGCAATTCTATTTGCCTTTGTATGGATATTTTGTCAGTCTACTTTCAATATATTTCTAGTAGGATAATTCTCATAAGTAGTTATTAGGAAGTATTTGAGCCATGTGAATTAAGAAGCATTCTATATGAGATATGGAAATGGAAGTTCTTGATGAAAAAGCATGAGAATGGCACCAGTTGACACACACATTCAAAATAAATGTTTCCTACATGGGTTTAGACAACACACAAAACAAATGCAAACTTGCTAAAAAGTAGCAAAGTTAAACAAATGAGGTAAAAGTCAAAAATTCAGAATACTGAATCCAATTTTACTCATTTCAATTTAAAAACCATATAGGAAGAGCAAGCAAGATGTTGCGTTGCTAAGAGTTCAAATCTGCTACTCGAGGTTACTAAACTTTACTTTGACAGTTACTTAAATTCAGTTCATCTGATTTTCCATCTACAAAACAGAAGCAAAATAGAAGCTGTATTTCTTCTTCTAAGACATGAAGAATGATTTAACCTTGACCTTGAATTTTTAATATTAAGTTTGGTAAACAATTCGAATATCACTTCACTTCTTTGAGCAATAAGCTTTCTAATCTTATGTATGTAAAATAAATAATTTAAATTAACCAAATAGAAGATTAATAATTAATAATGTTGAGATCTTCTCACAGAAAAACATAAGTTAATTATGTTTATTGGGATTCCTTAAAATCTAAAAAATTCATTAGGAATTTCAACAGGATTATTAGAAATGTATTAATAAAATAATTTAATTATAAGAAATATATAAAGCATATTGGAAGAGATTCATGTCAAAACATAATTTCAAAGTAAATTTATAGCTAAACAAAAATGAGTATTTATCTTAAAGTCTTCTACAATAGCCTTCTGTAATTATTCATCATTAAATCAAAGTTTTTTTCCTAAAACTCTAGTTTTACAATGAATTTCTTAAAAATTATTACCTATAAGCCCAATGTTTAGGAAATGATTAAAGCTCTCTCAGAGTAATTAGAAACTCTGAGCAAACAGAACTTAAAAGATTGACCAAGAAGTGAAAAGAAATAGAATGGAACATACAAATTTCCTCAATACTTTCACAGTGATCCTCTGTTGAATTAATGGAACAAATTGAGATTCTTGTTACTACTGTCACTCGTTTGACATGTTTCAGTGCTGCCTCAGCTACCATTAATCACGGAATTTATGTTTTCCCTAACTCTCAATATAAACTAACTATACTACACTATTAAACCAAAGACAAGACTCAATAAAAATCTGCATCCCATATAGTACTCAGGATGTGCCAAGCTCTGTATTAGGTATGTTCATTAATCAAAGCACTGAATGCTGTCACTGCTGACTCCTAAAGCCTTAGTATAAAATGGTCACTATTACCAAATAATTTTGGTTTTCCTATAGTAACTTAAATAAGTGGGTTTTTCCATTAAGTGGTTATTATAGAAAAATGGTTTTATGATGAGTTTTTTGCTTTAATTCTACTTGCTTCTTAATTTATTATATCTAATACTAGAGTATTTACACAATATTATACAATTATTAAAAACCTAAACTATCAGAAATAAAACTCAACTAGAGATTATTTATAAATCAATTTGATAGACAAAATTTATAATAACAATTCTTTAAAAATGCACTTTCATCCAAAGATTTGTGCTTTGGAGGTGTAATTCACGCATTAAAGTAGTCCTAGAGATTATTGTTTCTTTGTCCTACTTCAAATAGTAAAATGTCATAAAAATGTAAATATTAGATATATATAAGGCTAGGTTCGGTGGCTCCGCCTGTAATCCCGTGCTTTAGGATGCTGAGGTGAGTGGATTGCATGAGCCCAAGGGTTAGAGACCCGCCTGGACAACTTGGTGAGACCTCATCTCTACAATAAATCAAAAATCAGCCGAGCGTGGTAGTGCGTGCCTGTAGTTCCAGTTACTCAGAAGGCTGAGGCGGAAGGATCGCCGGAGCCCAGCAGGTCGAGGTTGCGGTGGCCAGGAGCGGCCACTGCACTCCAGTCTGGGCGACCGAGTGAGACTCCAACTCAAAAAAAAAAAAAAAAATGATATATATAGTTCAAAGAAAAATATTTTATCTGTTTTAATACTGTTAGAACACATGCCAGCTGAAGTCACTCATCAAAAAGTTGGCTTTCTTAAATAATTTTTTTAAATAACCAAATACTTTTAAAATATTCTTCTAATAAATACAAGTTAACCGTAGTTTGGAGTATGATCTTTTAAGTCCCATATGACATATAATAGCCAATACCAGTACTTTATGGGAAATATTACCACCAAAGATCTTATAACAAAATCAAGGGTAAGGATTGAAAAATATATTTTATATCTCTAACTAATACATTTTCCTAAGATGATACACAGAAATATTCTATGGGTAGCTTTTGTATGAGATCTATTTATTAGATCACTCAATAAAACATTTACTGAGAACTCTCTATGGATTTTGCAATTAAACTAGCTAAACTATAGGTTTTAACTTTGGTGTACAAAGAAGTCTGAATGATTGAAACATTAGGAAAATAGAAAAAACTGTACCAACTGACTTTCCTCAAAAATATTTATAATTCTATTTTTGAATTCATAAGAACAGAAATGATTTTTATCTAACTTTCTGGTTTGGCCAAAGACTCCTTGATGAGACTAAGGTAAACTAAAAGTATGAACCAGTTTATAAAACGACTCAGTCTTCAGGGACTAAGAGCAAGGATTTAGAGAAGGAAAAAAAAGTCAAAAATATTAAAACAAACAAACAAAGAAGGATTCCATTATGGATATTTCATTTAAGCAGAAATTAGTTTCAGCTGAATGTATAGGACTGGTATATATCAGAGCGCTGAAAATTAAAAGACATATAAACTGTTCAAAGGACATAAGATATTATTAAATGGCACTGAAAAGTGCTAATAGTATCAAGTTACCAAAAGCATGGAAGTAATAAAGCAGGGAGTCTCTGCATTAGTCAAGAATTGTAGGAATTTCATAAATTTCTGATGTACTGGTTTCCAAATTATAGTTTATACATTATTAGAGCCCTACATGCATAAAGTCAGTATAATGGGCAAGATTTTTATAAAGATAGCTTTCATTTCTTCCATTACCATTGGTTTATTTATTACAAGATTTGTCACCTATCTTGAAAACATGTAAGCTGAGCAAATGTGTTAATATTTATACACAATATATAACTAGCATAAGAATCATTTAATATATATAACTTACTTTGTATAATAAAAGAGCATTATTTCAGTGTATCAAAATATATACGTGTTTCACGGGCTACTGGTGAAACTTATTTGTCCCTCCCATTCTTCAATCCACCTTGGTAGCCAACTTGGGACCCTGAACCACATACTGTGTCACAGGGAGTGTCTTTTGGCTTTAGTTCAGTGTTTCCCACGTTATCTTCCATGGAACGACAGTCTTTTGAGAAATATTAATAGATATAATATAACCTAGCAAATCTGGGAAAAGATGTGTCTATAACACAACACATTAATATGTTAAAGCCTCACCAAAAAATAAGCCTTTTAACTTACTGTTTACAATAATCATTTGCTCGTGGAATACTTTTGTCCACTATGTTTCATATAACACCAACGGCCATGATAAAAATTCAGTATGTTTTAATAAGTAACAATCTACAAAAGCAGCACTGAGATCAACATATGTATCTTAAGAATAATAAGACACTTTATATGGGTTGAATTGTGTCCCGCATCCACCAAAATTATGTTGAAATTCCAATCTCTAGTACTTCCACATATGATCTTCCTTGGAAATAAAATCCTTAAAGGGGTAATTAAGCTAAAACGAGGTCATTAGGGTGCTCCCTAATCCAACAGGACTGATATTCTTATAAAAAGGGGAAACTTAGACACAGGGAAAGTGACAGGTACAGCAGGAAGACAACGTGAAGGTACATGGAGGATGCCATCTATAAACCAAGGACTACTGGAGACTGCCAGGAAGCAAAATAGGAATGAAACAGATTCTCCCTCATAACCCTCAGAAGGCGCCAATTCTGCTGACACCTTGATTTTGGACTTTTTTTTTTTTGCCTCTGTAACTTGAAGACAATAAATTTCTGTAGTTCTAAGCCACCCAGTTTGTGGCACTTTTAGGCAGCAGTCCTATGAATCTGATACACATTTTTTAATTAATTAGCATAGCATAAACTTATACTTTATACTAACATGTATTTTAGTAACATAAATAATATAAATAACATAGCAAAATAAAGGGGAGTACAGAATGAGGTCTTCAGTTCACTAAATATGATAGCTATCTTTCCTAGACTAAAGGCATTTTGTTTATCTACTTTTTTTTTTTTTTTGAGTTGGAGTCTCACTCGGGCGCCCAGACTGGAGTGCGGTGGCTGCTCCCGGCCACCGCAGCCTCGACCTGCTGGGCTCTGGGGATCCTTCCGCCTCACCCTTC